GGGATGAAGAGAGAGCGCATTCATACCAACAGTGCGCAGAGAAAACGCATTTGCCTAGGGAGAGCCGCAGAGAGTTGATGGTGGTTGCTTCAGGGGAAGGCAAGGTCAAGAGGGAAAGTTCTTTCGAATGTCAGAAATTGGATCATGTTTCTAGCCTGGGGAACGGGAGCTGATGGTGAAAGAGATTAAATGCCTGTCAGAGTGGATGATTAATAGTCCTACCCTAGTGTAGCACAGACCGGGTGGGAACTTCCTCACAGGCAGGACAGAGGTGAGGGAGAGCCTAGGACCAGGTGAGTAGGCGTCTTTCGGTGGGAGAAACCTGACCAGAACTCGGAGATCACAGCCAAACACTAATGACTGACTGGGGAGGGAACATAAGAGCCTGGACATCAAGCTGTGTGGGGATGGCATGAAGTCTACAGAACGAGAGATAGTCAGCAACAGGAAGGTAGGTCAGGTGGGGCAATTGCAGGGCAAACGCTAGAATCATTGGGTCCTTGAACATATGTTTTTTTATGTACAACCCGGAAACTTACTGGGCTTCAGAGTGGTTCTTAAAGGTGAAAGAAGCCAACATGAGATGTGGGCTTGCTTGCTCTCAGACATGGATTTAAGAGATTTAATTGAAAGATGATTCTGGGAGACTTTGAAATAGAAAGGATATAAATTCAACGAATGATCAGATTATTTTTATTTTTTTCCAATACTTTAAATATGTATTTCAAAATTAGAAATTTGTATTTAGGAGCAGTATTTGTCAGTTTGTTTGAGAAACTTTCTGAGTTTTTTTTTAAATTTTTTTAGTGCTATGTTAATCACCAAACATTACATCATTAGTTTTTGATGTAGTGTTCCATGATTCATTGTTTGTGCATAACACCCAGTGCTCCACGCAGAACGTGCCCTCTTTAATACCCATCACCAGCCTAACCCATCCCGATCAGATTATTTTTAAAGATCTTTTCACTAAACAGGAGAGGTTATTTGAGGAGAAGAGGGAGAAAAGGTGGGATTTATGGCTGGAGGAGAATGGGAAAGATTTGGAACAATCTCCAAATGGAACCAACCAGAGATGAATGCAAGAGTGCCAGGCGATTGGAGAAGAGAGCTATAATTAGATAGCATAAATTTGTATGGAAACCAGTTGGCATCATTAAGTGTCATTTAGCAGTAGTTTTCAGGCCATGGGGACTAGAAACATCGACAAAAGACTTGGAGGTTTGGCATGGACTGGGCTCTGGTAAAGCAAATGCACTTCAGGTCTGGGGGCAGGGATGAGCTGGATGAGGAATTTTCTGGTGCAGATGTGATACAGTTGAAATGACCTCAAGGTATGGAATGGAGAAGGAGGCAAATATTACTTAAGGGAAGTTCACCAACTAGTGGCCACAGAGGAAGAAATTAAAGATTCTTTAAGTCACTGATTGGGAAAGTTTAAAGGTCAGAGGACTGCGGCCAAAGGAGACCACTTCAGAGCTGAAGATTTTAGAAGCGGAGAGAATGCATTCTGGACAAAGGTGAGGGCCGAGTTGTGACCATCCCTCTGGGAAGCTGAGGCAAAGTGGAGGCAAAGCCCATTGGCATTGTGGTCAAGAAAGATGAAGCCAGAGTGGATATGGGAAGCCTAACAAGGAAGGAGCAAGGATGTCGAAGTTACTGAGGAAATGGAATGTGCCCAAACTAGGTAGAGAAACTTGATTAAAAAAACAAAAGCCGTGAGGAAAACGGGAGACTGTCCTGCGTTCTGGATGTCTGGGAGAAGTTGCTATAACCGAATGGCGCTGCCTGAGAAGAGTAGGGCAGACATAGGTGGTCAGTAAGGCCGGTAGTGGTCTAGAAACAGAAAGTCGTCCGGTAAGTTGGATTGTCGGAGCAGAGTGGACTCCGCCTGAGATGACTGGGAAGGGTAGGGCATAGGACGTCAAAGTCAGGATTTAGTTTATTCTGGAAGGAGAAGGAACGTTTGAAAATGTGGGGGAGTTGAATCCTCTTAGGACACACATGATAGAGGATATCGCACATGCTAGGGGCTGGAGGCCACGTGGGCCTGGAGATGGGAAGAGGAGCTGGACTGGGATGAGCTTGTCCAAAGCTGACGTTGAGTTCTGGGAGTAGGACAGTACTCACTGATGAACAGGATGAGGGGGGACGATAATGAAAGGTAGCGGCATATGCTGATCGAATAACTGGAATATAATCGCTAGTGACTGGAATGCCCATGCGGAATGTTAATGTGACCAGTTGGAACCCCGGCATGACCAGTTGGAAGGGCTATTGGAACCTTAGTACAACCAATTAGAACATTGTCCTCGTCAGCTGGAACATTGGTGCGACCAATTAAAACAACTAGAGGGACTTTGGCAAGAGTGGAAAGAGAGTAGATTCTTAGTTTTCAAGAGAGGTGCATTCCAAGGCTTTTTTTAAATCCCACCAACGCAGTGTCATGAATGCTGGTTAGTAGCCTGAGCTCATTTTGCTGAACTTCTAGATACTTGTCTCCTCACACACTGCATCTTAGGATACTCAAGCACTCAATGGGCTGTGTTTTTAACGGTCATATCCCTAGGCCTTGACATCTGGTACATATTTAAAAACATATTTGTGGAGTAAATGATTAAAGTCTCATGGAAGAATATTTTCTCAGTTGTCAGTGCTCCAAAGCAATTGTCTCACGGACCTTAATTTGTGGAATTACTCTTCTTTCTCTTCACATTGGTGGCTGGAAAGCTCATGTACACAGTATGGTCCACCTCTAGCAGTCACAGAACTTTAGGGTAGGCGTTTTATACCAATTGTGGCTCTGTCATTAACTTCTTTTCCTACCTGCTTTAATTTTATTGTTTTACATTTTAACTCAAGTCCATTTTTCAAACTGCCTCAAATCATTTTTGGAACAAAGCAGTTAGGTGGAAGGATGGAGAGAGAAACACAGAATGAGGTGGTGGAGGCAGAGGGGAAGGGGGGAAGGAGGGAAGAGGTGGGAGTGAGTAGGTGGTGTCAGGGAGGATTGCATCTTAAGATAGCCTTAGCACCAGGCCCTGGTAAAAAGTGTGTGCTCAACAAAATCTTGGCAATTTGAAGGGCGCCTGGGTGGCTCAGTCGGTGAAGCGTCTGCTTTTGGCTCAGGATATGATCCTGGAGTCCCAGGATCAAGCCCCACATCAGGCTCCCTGCTCATCGGGGAGCTTGCTTTTCCCTCTGCCCCTCATGCCACTCGTGCTCTCTCTGTCAGTAAATAAATAAAATCTTTAAAAAAAAAATCTTGACAATTTGAGGGGCAATTTACTTGACTCAGTGAATATTTGTTGATGGGTTTTTTTCAGCATGTATTTTGTTATTTCCCTTAAAATTCTTGGACTTCTTCCTTTGGGAAACAATGTGGTACATTAGACAGAAACGAGTTTTGGAGTCAAACAGACTTTGGTTTGAAAACTGACTCTGCTGTTGTTGAGTGGCATATGTCTTTGGCCAAGACAGGCCCGTGTCTGGGCCTGGTTGCTCATCTGTTTATTTACTGTCAAATCACTAGGAAGGTTTATTGAGAGCACGTATGCAAAGTACCCGGCGGGGTCTGGCACGGAGGAGACACTCACTGAATCTGTGTGTCTTCTCTCCTCCCCCGTCCACCATTACACACATTTATCTGGCAGACTCCTCGTGACCCAGTAGCCTGCAGTTCACGCATTGAGTGCTGCTGCCTCTGCCCTACACGCTGGCTTCAAGTCGAGCTGAGACAGGAACTGCCCAGTGCTCAGTGAGCTCATTTTGCTGAACTTCTAGATACTCGTCTCCTCAGGTTAGCTGATAGATAGTTTGTACCTTGGCTTTCTGAGACCCTGAGAGCCTTAGCCTAGGAAATTCTGTGTTCCCAGTTAAAATGTCTGTCCTGTGTGGTTTGGTTTATGGTCTGAGGACAGTTCAGAATGTGCACAATCATAGCTGTTGATCACCCTTCTGGTACTAGGGTTGGGTTGCCCAAGAGAATATAGAATATTCATCCTATGACAGGATAGCGTATCTTTTCCGGCTGCTCATTTGGCTGGTTAGTCTCCGAATCTCCATATTATAGTCTCTTTGCTGGGAGCTGCCTATCCAGTGTCTACCATGTGCCCAGATTTGGGAGCTCATGGACCATCGCCTTTTGCCAGTGGAGAAGTGTTGCCACTGGACTTTGGGGAATGCTCGTGGTTTTTGAGGTCCTTCATAATTCCTAGTAGTTTCCAGCAGGTATTTTGTCTATCACCTTTGTTTTTTGTCTTATTTATGCTTATTAAGTGTATGTATTAATGGCGGGTTGTTGTCTACCGCTGTTCCAGTGATGGTGGGACTTATAACCTCCCCGGGTCCAGCCTTATAGTAAGGAAAGAACAATTTTCTTAATCCCTTAGTGGCTCAGAAAGCTTCATATCAAATAGACTAGGAAAAATACATATCACATAGGTAAGATTCTAATCATTCAATAAATACTCATTGAATATCTGCTTTATGCTCTAGCTCCCTCCTAGGCTCATTGTAGTGAAAACTTACAATGAAATTTGTTGAGGATGTGGGCTATGAGCCCAGGAGGTGATTTGGAATCCTTGGTTTTGAAAAATATATTGTTAAGTAAGCTTGATTTTTTTTTTTGTTTGTTTGTTTTGGTTGAGAGGACCTGCTGGTTTGCCTTCAAAATAGAGATGGAGAAATTTAGTTCTTTGAGCAAAACTGTCCATATTTCTGTACTTGGAAATAATGGTTTCTAGAGGCAAACGTGTTTTTGAGAGCTATAGTTTACATCATTTCTCAGAGCACAGTGGGTAGCAGCAGGGACCGTGCTCTCCCTGAGTGACCCAGGAGCAGCCCAGGTCCATCCCTATTAGACCCGTGGCTCACATGCAGGAGTCTCAACTCTGTTGTCCAACATACAACATAGAGACTGCCTTCTGCACTCTGGATGGAGCTGCAGTTGCCCTTGTTGCCATGGAGACTGTGATTTTGATATCTGGTTTTGCTTGCAGGAGCTGCTAAGCCGCACATCTCTTGAGACCCAGAAGCTCGACCTGATGACTGAAGTTTCGGAGCTGAAGCTCAAGCTGGTTGGCATGGAAAAGGAGCAGAGAGAGCAGGAGGAGAAGCAGAGAAAAGCAGAGGTGAGTGTGATACACCAAATTCTGGGGGGGATCCATAGTGTTCTAAACTCAGAGCAAGGGAAGCTAGCCTAATGTGGACTCAGGCCATCTGATCAACCCCAAGCCTGGCAGCCACTGGGCGCCAGAAGCATCTGTGCACTAGAGACACAATGATCTGTTAATACCAGGTTATCAGGTTTTGCTGTGGCTGCAAATTTCAGCAATGCCCAAACCACCCAGTTTTGGCTCTAAGGCTTTATCCTCCCTCAAGCTGCTGACAAGGATGGAAAGGGAAGCCGTGGGGGGGAAGGATCAGACAAGATGTGAAGGGACCCAAGATGTCCTCTGTGAGAGCCAAGGTAATGACCATGTACTGGAATGAAGTCCGCTGCCCACTGGGCACTGTCCCCATATCAGAGGAATGTATTTCACGGACCCAGATGGGAGCCTTAGATTATGTGTTTCTTTTCCTGATAGGTCATAGGAGGGAGCCCATGTAATGTTTTCCTGCATTGTTCCTGTTTTCATTTCAGGCTCCGTATCCTATTGGCTAGAGCATGCCAGACTCCTTTTTGGGATAAATATTTTGGATAAATTCTAGGCTCAGAGCTGCTTTTGTTGAGAGAGAATATCCTGTTGTAAACTTAGATAACCACCTTCCATGTACTTCTACCTATAAGTCCCCATATTTGCACCTGGTGATAGAAGATGTGGAAAGAAGATAGGCTTTAGGTTTAGAAGCACCTTGGTTCAGTTACTGACCTTAATAGGTCTTTGAACTTCATTCAACAACCTAGCTGCTTAATTTCTCTCAACTTCAATTTCTTTATCTGTACAATGGGTAACTGTGAGAAGCCCAAATCAAATCACAAAAGTTAAGTCCCTATCATAGTATCTGGCATAATGTAGGTACTTGGTTTATCTTCTCACACACACACACACACACACACACACACACACACACACACGCACACACACAGAGAGACAGAGAGGGAGACAGACACCACACACCGATTTAGGAATCTCCAAAATCTAAAAATGGATCTTATTCCTTCCCATTAAGCACCACCTTTAATGTGCACTGAAACCTGCCCTATTTCTCTGTTTACTGCGTAAACACTGATGATGGAGACACTTGTACTATGTGGGCAATTCCATGCATTGCTTTTGCGAAGCTGCTCGTTGGTAAGTAGTGTTGCCAAAAGAACTCTCCATTAAACTGAAGACTGTGTCTTCTAGTGATTAAGAGTGCCGGCCCTCCAATCAGCTCTTCCAGCTGTAATGCAAGCTGAGCTACTCATTAGCTTTGAGATCTTCGGCAAGTAACGTAACCTCTGCTTCTTCCTCTGTAAAATGGAGAGAGTAAGCTTGGGATTTCCTGGCTGGTTCTGAGGAGGGAATAAGATCATGTGTGTGTAGTCCCTACCATAGTGCTGGACACATAGTTACAGCTAGCTGTTATCAATTACTTACATTTTGTGTCGTTAAGCATCCTGCAGATGGAAATGTAGATTAAGATACATTGAAAAACTGCAACGGTCACGCAGACTGAAATCTTATCTGGGTGAAGTGTTAGTTGAATAGACTTTGCTTCTTAAATTCAAGGAAAGGAAAGAAGGAAACTGAATTTTCTCCAGGTTTAGAGGGGTTTTTTTGTTTTGTTTTGTTGTTGTTTTGTTTTGTTTTGTTTTGTTTTTACCACTGTTTCAAGCTGTGTGATTACATGTGAACATATGTTGAGGTTCTGGAAGCAGAATTCAGTAAACTCTGAGAAGTCTTAAAGTGGTAGAGATAACTCAAAATCACTTAAATTTAAAAAAAAATAAGTAAAGGTGGGAGGTTATTAGGTCACACAACTTGACATGTCTAGGGTTTCCAGGTGACCTCACGATGTCATTAAAATCAGCCTTAGTGTATGTCTTGGTTCTGTTTTAGCCTTACTCTCAGGAAGTCTCCCCGTGTGGTGACACAGATGGCCCCCAGCAGCTCTAGATCCCACCAGCCGGGCAACCCCTGCAGAGAGAGAGTCTCTTTCTCAGAGGTCCAGCAGAAGCCCCAGATTGCATCTCATTGGGCCACTTTGGGTCCACATGCCTGGTTCTGAACTGTAGGCAGCATGTGGGTGGGTGTGAGTCCTTCTTACCAACCTGGGACAGCTGAATTCCTTTCTGGAGAAGACAGGATAGAGGGAGAGCTCCCACTTCTGGGCCAAATATAACAAAAGCAAGCAGTCATTTTGCTCTTCGCTTTATTTTTTCTCTTCTGAGGGATTATGTTTCAATCTGAATTTTTTGTTTTTGTTCCATTAGGCTGTTCATGCCTGAGACAACATGGGCCCTGAGCCGCTGGCCTCAGTCCTGCCAGATAACAGTCCTTCCCAGTTGTTAGTACAAACATTAGGTTTCTATGTGGAGAAATGTTTTTAGGCTGTTCAACCTGTGATACTCCGTGAACAGCCACGGGACCTGAAACACAGTTCTCCGTCTTAGAACTGAACATAATCTTTGCTGGTATGCTCAGAGGCAGAGGCTCTGTCCCTATTTGCGGTTTTCTGGAGCACCAGAGCCTTAAAACCCCGGGGGGTGCTGCTAAGCCGCCCGTTGTCATGTGCGTGGACATGTTCGAGGGGGGCACTTAGCAAAGATCACCAGAGGCTGCACTTACAGGAATAAGGGGAATGCTGCTTCCCAGCCTGCACGGCTGCTGGGTTTTTTCCAGTGAATATACTTAGCCCAAGGCCTCATGGCTTGTGGTTTGGAAAGGCAGGGTCTTTCTCTTTGTTTTGTTTGTTTTCTGGGATAGCTGGATCTGAAATTTCCTCTATGTAGTTCAGGCTTTATCCTCAAATTCTCTTTTATGTTTCAGTGAAAATTAAAAAAGGATGCTGTTAACAAGAGCATTGCAGGCTGCTTTTTTCTGTCTGACTCTGATTCCCCCCTAAACTCGTATCCTGCTGCCTGTAGAAAGTTACAGAAGTGATTCTAGATGGTTGTCTAGAAACCTGAGGACTTCGAGGTGCAGGTTTCTTGCCAAATCGAGACCATCCTGGCAGCCGGCCTTGCTTAGGAGTCTGTCAATGAGATGTGGGTGAAAACTGAGTTTTTCGTTTACCTTTCCTCGTGAGCCTTTTGCAGTGGTTCTGGGCCATTTTAGGAGATCCAGGCTTGGATTAATTAGGTTTGCTCCTGAGAAGCAGGACTGCAGAGGAATGCTGCCATTGAAAGTAAATACCAGAATTAGGAGGATGGAACATAAAAGAGCTGCAGGCAAAGGGAAACCTCTGGATGGCACACCATATCACAGGCACGGCCTTCAGGAGGCGTCTTCCTTGGAGAAGGGAGTGTGGTTTCCCTTAGCACTGGAGATGCAGGGGGTGCTGCAGCTGGATCCCTCTGTGGTGGGATCCAAGAGGTCTACGTGCAGTACCGGAGCATCATGTAAAGAAGGGAGCAGGGATCCAGCAGGTCCTGGAAAGCAGAGTCAGCCCAGTTGATCAGAGGTAGACGCAAGTATGAAGAAGAGAACCAGGAAGAGTCTTTCGGATTTCTGGCAGAAAACAGAATGTCTTACAGCACAGGTGGTGGTGTCATCCTTCTTCCTTCCTGTGGTTAGCACTTCGGAAGGGAGGGATTCTGATTTCTGAGCTGGGGCAACCAGAGGGATGGACTTGGAGCACAGAGCAGGGGCTGAGAACGTGGTATTTGCTCCAACAAGAGCTGACCTGAGCAAGAGAATCTTACGGTTTTTATTTTATTTTGTTTTATTTACTGATTTTTATTAGCATGGGGAATACACTCCAATGATTCAAAAATTAAGGGTTCATAAAGGTATATGCAGCAAAAAGTCCCCTTCTAGGCCCCCCCAAGCCCACCATCAGGAACCACTGAGATCAGTTTGTTTGTATCCTCCCAGAGTTATGCATGGACAAGCAAATTTATGTGGAGAGATGTACACACACACACATACACACATAACATTCTCTCCCTCATTTTTTGTACACATGCATACTACTCTAGACCTCCTGATTTACTTATTATTTTTTAAAATGTTATTTACTTATTTGACAGACAGAGAGCACAAACAGGGGAAGCGGCAGGGAGAGGAAGAAGCAGACTCCCCGCTGAGCAAGGAGCCCAATGTGGGGCTCGATCCCAGGACCCTGAGATCATGACCTGAGCTGAAGGCAGATGCTTAATTGGCTGAGCCACCCAGGCACCCCTAGATCTTCTAATTTAGCACTCTGGGAGTTTATTTCATACCAAGTACATTTTTTTAAAAACGTCTTTATATTTATATCTGCGTATTATTTCATTATCTGACTGTACCCTAATTTGTTTGATCTGTCTTCTTTTGATGGACATGTAAATGGTTTCCAAGTGTTTGTAATTACGAAGAACGCCTCTGTGCACCTGAAGTTTTGACAGATATTTCCACATTGTCTTGTGGAGCATAGAGGTTATGTTCCCATCAGTGGTGTGTAAATGCCAGCCCAGTATTAAACTGAGCATGAAGGAAGAGAAGGAAAAAGAACTAAGTAAAATTGTGAGCAAGTTTAACAGGTAGGAAGGGGTAGGGAAGACCATGATTATGGGAGGTGCTCAGTGGTTTCACATAGAAAAGAACCATAAAGAAGAACTTTGATGGTTAGCGAAGCAGGAGTAATAAAGCTAGTTGAGGGTACTACACAGAGTGGCAATTAGAACCTCAGAAATGTCACCTGCTCTTTATAATGCAGGACCCAAGAATGGGACACAGCTACAAAAGGGTCTGCCCTGTGGGGGAGAAACAGACCTGTTAAGAGGGGAAGTGGGCCAGCCCTGGAGAGAAAGAAGTCTAAAAAATGTTGAGCCTGAGGATGGATGCCCTGGAACATAACACATGGGTCGGGAGAGTGAGTATCCCAGTATCCCAGAAGTGTTGGGGTGCACCACATAGTCTCCCTGAGCCGAGGAGGAAGATAGGTGCACCCCGATACAGATCCCCAGACACATGGAGGTGGGCAGGGAGCAGTGGTGGAGGGG